TTTTAATTTTTTCCCCCCCTTTAAAAAGTTCAAGTCCCCCCAAAATTTTTTAAAAACAAAAAAACCCCCCCCCCCCCCCAGAAAAAGACAATTTGTTTTTGGTAACATTAAGAAACATGAGATGTGTCTGGCATATGCATTGATTAAAACTATTGAACTCTCCATAAACACCCTATTTGAATTTTTTGTAGGAACTTTTCTCTAGTGTTCAATGGACTAAGGAACTATACATTAAAATTATTCTCGATTTGTCAGTAAACATAAATGTTTGTCAAAACAATCAAAACTGAAAGCAACATTAAAGTCGTGGATTAAAGATTTTGTTTCTTAAATGATGATTTTCACTAACAGGTGAAAGAGGTGTCCCTGGTGTAACTATTCATACATGGTGTAAATATTGAAATAACACCAAATCAGTAACCCAAACTAGTAGCCACGTATCATTATTAATGAAGACACGAGTTACATAGTCAGATATGCCAAAACTACCATGTATCTACTAACACGAAATACATTGAATAAAACTACTAATATTCGGAATGTACTGTCCACATTTAGCTAAACAGTGTATTTTTAATCACGGTTTTACATTCAAACCTCGCTGCTATAAAACTCAAACATCTTACACAGCAGCACGAATATGCTAACTGAATGTAGCATTTTCCCCACTTCCTGTCACTTAAATGGAAGCTAAAAAATGGACGACTTACTCCATATCGAAATTAAGCGGAGCTCCTACCTTTTTATATCAAGTTAACTTCAGGGCAAGACAGCGAAGACACAGAATGCTGTATTGAAGTCAACTTAGAGCGTCTGGAGGTGGAAACAGACGGAAGAAGTGGACAGAAAGACGTCGGCGGTGGGATCACTCCCTGTCAACCCGGCTTCTGCACTTTACTAGAATGACGTGTTACTCCGAATTCGACATTCTTCTATTGGTTCTTTTTCTGTGACGTCGAGTCAGCGTAGCATGCGGAAGTGGGGTACTCTGGGAAATGAAGTCTATTGTGTTTTTGAACGTTTGCATCTTCTCTTGAAGACAGCGGCAAACAGGAAGCAAAGTCACATTCTGTTCTGTGACATTTGAAGAATATACTGTTGCGTATCCATATAGCCGTAAAACTATTATGTATAAAGCCTTCAGTGTTTTTGTCATTAAAGGCATTAATGTTCATATTAATGCCTTTATGTATATATAGTAGCGAAATTTTGACCTATTAAACATGATACATAATTGTCATGCTCTCAACTTGACTGGAGCGTCAGAGTGATTACAACATCAGTATTGGTGAAAAGAGTTGAGTCTTTCTCACTAATAGGTTAATATCTAAACATGACAGACCATAAACTCTGTTTTTCTTCTTACATAGTACAGCTGCTTTGAAACCGTTGCCTCTGCATTTTTTTTCATTAAGACTTTTTCTACCAAACTTTAGAGATCAAACTTCTTTCCTTCTTTTGTAAAACATAAATACAGTTTTAGGTATGCTAATCAAAAATAAACTTAATCTCTGTAAAGCCATTGATTTCAGGGAGAGAGTAATGTTTAGTCAGTTTGATAATTCCCTGATGTTGGATTCAGACTGTTCTGTTATGAATGGTGAACAGATACAGTGACTTATAAAAATATCCACAACCCCTTTTCATTTTTTATCGTAATCCAGCCTGAAACATCAATGATATTTATTGTTTTTATGTTATGGACTAACACATATAGAAACTGTGAAGTGGAAGGAAAATGATACATGACTTTCAAGTGTTTTGTGGATAAATATATAACTGTATAAGACTAAAAGTGGTCAATGGTGCCACCAAGAGGCGTATAGTAACACTAAATATATTTCCAAATTTTACTGATTTTGGTACGTTACATTGTTGTGCTGTATTCTATATGTTTAAATTGAGGAATAGCACTGAAAGATAGAACCTTTTTCTTCCAAGCAAAACATTTTCAAGGAAACTTTTTTTTTTTTTTGTGGTCTGATGCGCATGTGTCAATCTCGAGGTATGGGAACCAAATCCATAGTGCGGGGTAATATAAGCCACCCTTCTAGGCTGAAGACTGGACAATACTGGAAAGGTATTTGGAAGAAAGAGGCATTTCATAGCAATGATGCACAGTGGCTAATGCAAACCACACTAATCTCCCTGAACAAAGTCAGATGAACATCACAATGGCAGATATCCTCTCAAGTATGAAGAACTGGGCAGCTCTAAAGCCAGATATGATCCATACTCATTGGCTAATGACAGTCCAGAGCCTGTCATTAGGCTCTGGACTTCTCTCCAGAGCATAATGACACAAATGAACAAACTGCTGCAAAATGGTACCCACTCTGAATGGCTGACCAAGGGCCCAATAGCCCTGATAATGAAAGTCATCCAGAAGGGAATAATCCCATCCAACTATTGGCCAAAAACCTGTAAGGTATAGTGGCTAAGATAAGGCACATGGCTCAATACATGACAGAGGCACAGAAAGGCATTGGTATACTAAACACCAACTGTTGGTTCACAGAACAGTAGCCAAACAAACAAACCTGGCTGGATCGATTACAAGAAAGTCAACAACTCAATGCCACACACGCCAATCCTGGAATGCCGTAAGCTGCATAAGATCAACAAAACTCAGCCTTGGTTGCAAACTCCATGAATTGTGGAAACCGGCCCTTCATGGGGCCAATTTCAAGTCAATTGTGCAAATCTCTATCAAATGGCTAATACAAACCACAGGAAATGCTCTGTTCTCACTAATGATGGGTTTAAAATCGAAAGGTTACATGGAAAAGTCATATTCAAATTTGCACAATAAACTCGACAGATATTATTTGGTTAAATATTTATTTTGCCTGATTTTGTTATGTTGTTATGATGGTATATATGGATTATTTTAATTTTATTCTTTAAAGAACTAACATTTTCACATTTCTTTGTACTTTTCTCCATGTAATTTTTTTGAACTTTAAATGGTTGAAGTTTGGATCAGTTAGTGAGTATTCAAACAAAATACTTCTTTACTCTTACTTGAGTAATTTCTTGCATGGCTACTTTTTATTTTTTCTTGAATAAAATTATGTTGAAGTATCACCACTCTTACTTGAGTGCAGTTTGTGGGTACTCCACTCACTTTCGAGCTTTATGTTTTATAAAGTAGCTTCTCAAGTAAAAAATAAAAAATAAATAAAGTAGCACACCCTTTAATTTAAGACAACTAATGACATTTTTGTTTTTAAATGATTTAATATAACACCTAACAGGTATATTGTTCATATTTGAATAGGACTGCTCCATGTAGCCTTTTGATACGAAACTCACCACTAGGTGGCGCCGTAGGAAAGCTGTGTTTTCACAGAGTCGCAAACCTCTGGGGGGGATGAGAGAGCTTCAGGAGGGAAAGGCAGAGAGGAGGAGAGAAGGAGAGAGCTTTTTCCTCTCCCTTTCTCTGCTTTGCACAGATGACTCCCTCCTCTGCCTCTGACCGCTTTCACATCCAGGTAAACCTTCTTCCACTTTCATCTCCTTCCGGACCGGGATCACGCCGTGCATCCGCTGCATAGAGTCGGATGATGCAGCGATAAGGAGTCCACAGCATCCTCTCCGCCGTGCTGCACTCAGCCCGGCATCGTCAGCTGTTGCTCTATGAGAGAGTGGGAGAGTGGAGGGCAGCACAGAGGCCGAACTATGCCGCTGATTACCAAACGGTAACCCGCTTCCTCAACCTCTGCAGGTCGGATTGGAAGCGAGCGGAGCTGCTTGACGAACCCGCGAGTGTTTTCTGCCCTTTGTCGGTGCCGGAGGAGCTGTGCCAATGGAGAAGGCAACTCCGCCGCTCCAGCCCCAGCCCCAGCCCCAGCTCCAGCTGTCCATAGCGAAGAGTGAAAGTCCGGCCGAAGACATCTCAGGTCTGACGGACGAGGAGCTGCTCAGGTGGACCAAAGAGGAGCTGGTGCGCCGGCTGAGGCGGTCTGAGGCCGATAAGATGAGCGTGATTCTGGACCACGGGAATCTCATCCGAGAGGTCAACCGCAGCCTCCAGCTGCACCTAAACGAGATTAGGGGGCTGAAGGTGAGGAAGAGGAGGAGGAGGAGGAAAAGAAGGAGGTTGGAGGGCCGCGCATTTGCAAAGGATGAGATCATAGGTTTGAGGCGCACCTGAGAGCGCGCATAACGTGAGGAATATTCAGCTCTTTATCAAGCAATCAGCAACCATGATGCCAGATAAGATAACACTGAAAGTTCGCTGTCTCGTTCCGTGGGCCTGCGTTGTGGATGTGCCCACGCTAAACTTGCAGGCTTAGGAAGTCCAATCAGATTCGGTTTCATAGCCTATAGGTTGAGTCACTGTGGTTTTGAGCAGAATCAGTGACATTATGGGCTTGGCACCCAGAGCTGTCTCTCTCCTTACATTTGAAATTCCTGCACATCCAGTGCATTTGAAAAAGTATTCACCATGAACTGGACTTTTCCGTTTTTTGTCACGTCACAACGGGAGACTTCAATGTGCTTGACTGGGATTTTATGTGACATATGAACTAAAAAGTTCTCATTTTTAGGTTGAAATTACACGGTGGAGTCAAATTTCAAAAGATCTGAAAAGTGTGGTGTGCAATTAAATTAAATTCTCCTGACATAATTAGATGGCGCTCAGATTAGATGAACTGTGTCTTGCCACTTAAATGGATTTGGACTTTTACTGGGACATTTAAGACTTGAATAGGTTTTGATCTAAACCATTGGATCGTAGCTTTGGTGGATGTTTATGGTTGTTTTGCTGGAAATCTACCACATTCTCAAAACTTTGGCAGCCTCTAACAGGATTTCTTCTAGCAATGTTCTGTAATTAGCTCCCTCCATCTTCTGACTTGCTGGAGATGGTGTGGTCTGGGGGATGTAAAGTATTAGTTTTCTGCCACACATAGTATTTTGCTTATAAGCAAAAGGGTAACTTTAGCTTCATATGACGAGATTACTTTCTTACATATGTTTGCTGTGTGTGTGTAGGCGTGGCTTGTGGCAAAATGCAATTGCTTTTTGTTTGTAACTGTACCTCAAAGGCCAAATTTGTAGAGTGCACAGATGGTTCCACTCGAGCTGTAGATCATTACAACTCCTCCAGAGGTACCACAGGCCTCTTTTCTCCTTCTCTGAATACTTTCCTTCTCTGTCAGTTTAGGTGTGTGACTACATATCGGTATTGTTTCTAGTCGTGTTTCAATCTTCAGGTGATGAATTAACCTGTACTTTTGATTTTATTTGGGATATCAGCGTAAACGGAATAGCGGGTGTCACACCCTTCAGCTTTTTACTTGGGGGCCGGGGGGATGTTTTTACACAAGATGTTTTTTTTTTTTTAATTATTTTATTTGGTTATTTTTTGTTAGCATAAACCACAACAACCACGCTCTGAAATGAGTGATTGTTGTAGCCTATAACCAGAAGACGTGAATACCTTCGCAAAAACGCTGCAGATTTACACAGGATGTAATGAACCTGAAGATTCACCAAGCCTTTCTCACCAACACTAATCTTAGTCACTACCTCTTCTAATAAGGGTAATGTGGCACTATGTCCACAGTGTTTACAATTAAAGTTGAGACTTGCCTGAGGTAGCCTCAGCAGCACACAGGGATCGTTTGCCTCTCCCAGGGACCTTGTCACCTCTGCCCATCCAAGCGGCCTAATTACACTGGAAAGAGCTGGAGGCTCTGACAGGAGGAGAGGGAGGATCTAGGTGAGAGTTAAATTGTCACAGGCGGAGGGGAAGGAGGTCTTTTGGAGGTGACAAAGGAGTGCTCTAATGTTGCTTTTAATGCAAAATGTTCTGTGCGGTGTCGTTTCTGCTCCTGAACCCGGCCTTCCTCGTTATATGTATCTCACTGACTGCATGCAGTTACTGTTTATTCAAGGGGAAATCAGAGAGGATTAAGGTTTCATTTCATTACGATTGCACGCGGTGACGGGGTGATATCTAAAAGAGTGGGGAATATAAATCAAATCATGTAATGGATGCAGCTTTTTTAGCGTGATAAATAGGAGATTCACCAGTTGAAATTGGACGATTTTTCTCTCGATCGTTTCTGAGCGGTGATTGGCAGGTCAAGCACTAATTAATGAGAAACAGACTCGACTTTTGTTTTTTTTCTAAATCATTAAATGCATAAAAACTATGAACTTCCATTTTTTGTTCTCTGAAGGCATCGGCCAACAGCTTTGTATTCTGGTGCACATCCTTTGGGTCTGAGCATAATCCTGTAATTCCTTTATTTGCTGCTGGATTCAAAATTAACTTAACCAACGAAGCCTGCTGCACATTGTTCCACCCACCCCCCACTTTCATGTTATGGTGCTTAAAATAATAATAATAAAAAAAATGTCAGTCAGGAAAAGTCTGCTCAGAGTATCTCTACTGTTAGCCAATTTTTAAGCTTTTTTTAGGTTATGAAATTAAAAACAATCATTTTCATAATTAACGGAGATATCGGATTTAAATAATTAAGCTTCAAAAAAAATTTAAAAGTAACTTGGTGCAACTTTGTGATTTATTCTAAAGCATTTGGCTTATTGACGTGCTCTCAGGCTGCTCAAGTTTTTACTCCACTGAGACGCATGCATGAAATATGATGCATTTGATCTATGTTAAATCAATAATTCTATCTTGATTGGCTCTGATCAGAGATCAGATTTGATTTTTTTTTGTATAGCCTTTTGATGCAATCCATCAAATTTCCCTCTAATTTTACTCTGCAAATGCATCAACAAGCACCATGCTGTTTCTCTGATTGTAAAAATCCCCCTGAGGAATATATGTCAGAGAAAGGTTAGAGAAAAATGCTTTGAAGCACAGATAGTAATGAATAAAAAGCACAGATATTGTATTTTCCTGTGGATTCAAAGTCACTATCACTATCAACAAACTTACAGCACAATGTTTTTTCTATACATTATGACCCGCAGAAGAAAATGGAATCAGTAAAATACTAAATCAGAAAGTCATATCTTGAAGAAAACCAGACTTTGTTTAGAATACTGCTTTTACTTGATCTATAAGCTAACTTGATAATATTATCAAGTTACAGCTCATGCAACTTAAAAAAAAATAGTAATGGAAAGGTTTTAAAGTCTTAAATAAAACTTCATTCAAGAATAGGATTTACTGATTGATTTACTGACTGTTTACTGTAAAGAGACTTCTCTGAAACTTGAAATACTGACTGAGCTGCATGGAGGAAATATTGTATAATCAGTATATACTGCTGATCTCTGATGCACCAATCAAACAGCTAGCAATCCGACTCGTCTGATTTTCTTTAAATAAAATCTGATCGTTATCGGCAGATTAATTACTGGAAAACGTAACCTTTGTTTTTTATTATTAAATGCTCCCATCATTTTTTTTTTTTTTGTCTTGTAAGTGGATCAACAAACTGCACGTACTTTGAAAAATCAGATGGAGGTTAGGGACATACTGTATCTTTGATATTCATATTCTATTGTATTCAAAACTATCAGAGACTCTGCTGCATTTTCTTCTCTAGTTGTATTTCTCAAAGTCAAAGAGAATCAGAAATCGATATAAAACCTGACTAGAATAAAAATAATAGCAAGAATGCACTGGTAGCCATTTAAAATGTTAATTATATTCCGACTGCAGTCAAGTTTCCCATATTTCTTTTTTTCTGCATGTTTTTCTTCTCTTTTCACCAGGACATCAACCAGAAGCTGCAAGAGGACAATCGTGAGCTGCGGGACTTGTGCTGTTTCTTAGATGATGACCGTCAGAAAGGGAAGCGCGTGTCCAGGGAGTGGCAGCGTCTCGGACGGTACAGCGCCAGCATCATGCGCAAGGAAGTGACCCTGTACCTGCAGAAGCTCAAGGAGCTGGAGGTCAGACAGGAGGAGGTGATCCGGGAGAATCTGGAGCTGAAGGAGCTCTGCCTGTTGCTGGATGACGAGAAGGGAGTTTCGGGTGGAGGAGGGGTTGTGGTAGGGGGAGGCGGAGGCGGAGGGGGCGTGGGGATGGGAGGATGCCGCAACTCAATAGACAGCCAGAACAGCCTGCTGCTGGTGCCAGGCCAGGGGCTTCTCATGAGGGACGTGGGAGATGGGAGCAGCACCTCGAGTGCAGGCAGCGCCGACAGCTCAGACCACCCTCACCACAAGCAGACTCACCTCTCTGCAGGTGTGGGCAGCATTGGGAGCAGCGGGGAGAAAGGCAGCCCTGAACTTTTGCACAAACCCAGGTGTAGCAGCATCAGCGGGATAGGTGGAGCGGACAGGGAGGTGTCCAGCCCAGAGCTCCCGGCTGGGCGGCACCGGAGCACGAGCCTGGAGTATCCGTACACCCTGCCCCAGCTCTGCCGGCCCCGCTGCGGCTCCATATCCGTGCCCGACCACAGCCGGGTCATGCGGGGCCTGAGCCCGGAGAAGTACGGGCGCAACATAGGCCACCGCAGCCCGGAGCAGCACCCCAAGCACCACAGCTCGGATCTCCTACTGGGCCAAAGGCAGCACTTCCTGGGCCAGGGAGGCAGCGGGGAGCTCTATCAGAAGTACAAGCGGAGCAGTATTAGCACCACAGGCTGCGGGAGTCCCGAGCCCCGGCATGCACATTTGGGGGTCGGCGAGCACCACGAAAAGGGCTGCATGATCCACGGAGGCAGCCCTGAAACTCACAGGCACCAGTACAGTGTGAGCCCGGACCACGCAAAGTTTGGCAGTCCCGTGAGGGAGGGGCAGAGGAGGCCAGCTGGTGACGAGCTGTCACCGCACCACCGGAGCATCTACAACGGCATGAACGGTAGGTGTGTGTCTGCATCCACCGCTCCAGTTCTCTGTTGGTGTTCTACAGGTACATCTCTCCAAATTGGGATATCATACACACATATTTGAACATTTTCATTATATAATTAGGGATGGGCATTTATCATATCGCTCATCATTTATCGTGATACATTTCTTATCATTTATCGTCATGATAAATTTCAAATTTTGACATTTAAAGATCCCCCAGACTGTCCATGTTGTTGGAATGTTATTTTATTTTTTTTTACTCTTTTGTCCACTTTTTGTTCAAACAACCAATAAATACATATATATTTGAAAATATGATTCAATGCAGTTACTGTGTGCAGTTTACTTTACAAATCACACTTCTTTAAGTGACTGATGCCCAAAAGAAGCATATTATACATGTTTTTTTTCTTCAAGACGAGCATTTGTGGGTTCTGTGCCATTCAGTCAGAGCCATACAGTTCCCTAAAAAAGAATACATAAACAGTTCTTATTGTCACTTTTACTTTTATCACTATAGTACCACAAAATGTTGTGATAAAACTTCAAGTCCCAAGGTTTCCCCCGGAAAACTTGCCAAGCCCAGTGATTGGGGCGCTTGACAGTTATTGGAAGATTAATATCTGAACACCAACTATAATGTCTTAAAAAATGCAAACATTAAAAGAAAAAAAAAACTTAAATAAATAAGCAATGCTAAGCCTGGTGGGGGCACAAGCACAGCCTGGAGAGCCGGCAAGTTTATAATACACTGGAGGAAACCCTGAGTCCATACTGTCCACCCTTACAAGAAAGTAAAAGTTATGAGTCATTACACTCAGAGATATTTTTTAAAGCTTTGGTTTCTGATGACTTTTGATGATTGTGGCTTACAGCTAACCTCAGATTCAGTTTCTCATGTTACTAGAATATTATTGATCAATAAAAAAGGTATGTCCATGCAATGTACAGTATCTGCACTCAATACTGCCTTTAGCTACTTTTGCAGTGTGGTAGGATGTGATGAGCCTGTGGTTCTGCTGAGGTGTTAAGGTTGATAGTGGCTTTCAACTCATCAAGATTAGTGTCTCTTATCTTCCTCTTGACAATACTCTTGATGGGGTGTAGGTCTGGCCAATTTGCTGTCCAGCAAACAGGGTAAAACTATTGTGATTAAGTGGGATTAATATATTTGACAGGATTGGCAGAGGACTGGTGCTGTTGGAAAATTAACATCCTGGTGGAATATGAAATCACACATCTCCATTAAGCCTGTCAGGTTTGACTGAAAACCCTAACCCTAAAACAGACATTCAGCACAAAAGTTGGCAGTTTGCTACCAGAAAAAAAAAACAAAAACAAAAAAATGCTCATCTCTTAACACCAAATTAATTATTGATGAAACATAAGCTCTTTTAAAATACTGCGTTTCTGCTTAGATACAAGAAATTTACATTTGGTAAATTTTGCAAAATAAAAATCAGATGTTTACTTCGTGGCACTTTTTTACCAATAAACACACTCGTCTCTTAGCAACTGATTAACAACAAATATTGTCATTGTTCAAAAAACATAAGATTTCTTCTGCTCTTCTCAAGTACTACTTATTTTATAACTCTTAAGAAATGTGCAGTTGGTGAATTTTTCAGAAAAGTTAAAATTTCTTGTGTTTTGTAAACAATAATTAATTTGGTGTTAAGAGATGAGCTTTTTTTTCTGGCAATGAACTGCCACGAAGTATAAATCATATTTGTTGTTAATCAGTTGCTAAGAGAAGAGCTTGTTTTCTGGTTACCAAGTGCCATGTAGTAAACATCTGATTTTTATTTTTGCAAAATTTACCATCTGTAAATTTCTTGTGTCTAAGGAGATGAGCAATATTTCAAATGAGCTTACCTTTTATAAAAAATAATTAATTTGGTGTTAAGAGATGAGCGTTGTTCTTCTGGTAACGAAGTGCCACGAAGTATACATCTGATTTCTACTTTTGTAAAAGTAAAAATCAGAAGGCAGTGCATTAACATTTGCACAAACATTAGCAGTAGCTACTCCCCACATTAACAGTAGTCTTTTTCCTAAAATAAGCATTTTAGCTATTTTGTTTATTTATTAACCATGTTTAGCACACATAACGGAGGAAGTCAATGTAAGACAATATGCTAGTTATACCCCACATGCCACTGGCAACATTTAGGCTAACAGTAGCATTTTGGCTAATTTTAGCTTGTACACTAATTTTAACATACTGAATGGAGTAAGTCCATGTTACTAAACATGCTTGTGACTCTCCACCTGCTGTTGAGAACACTGTAGCTTACTTTAGCTTTGATGCTAATTTTTAGCATTAGAATGCTAAATGCGGGTGGCGGGTTCCAACTGACAGGCACACTTTGGCAGGCCCTTTTTAAATTTCTCCAGAAATTTAAACAGGGCCGTATCTCTTTCTACCACAATTTTTTCTTTCCATTAAACTTTTGATTAATGGTTGGATACAACACTGTGTAACAGCCACCATCTTTAGTGAAGATCTTGTCTGACCTTCCCTACCAGCAGTGAGTGTCTGCTGGAGAAGTGAGAAGTCCTTCATTAACATCACATTTCTATATTAAAAAAAAAATAAAAAATTTCATTATGGAATATTGTATTTTCAGAGAAGCAGACTTTTGGATTTGCAATAGCTGTAAGCCATAATCAAAACAGACAGAAATAAAGACTTAAACTATGCCATGCTGAGTGTAATAAGTCAATATAATCGGAGTTCCACTGTTTAGATTCAATAATTAAGATACATTTTCTTAATTTTTCCAATTTATTCAGATAAACGAGCACTAAATTGATCCATCAGTTACACACAAATCCCCAGAGGCATTTGGTGTATGGAAAACTTGTATGAAAAAGATTTTTTCCTACAATGTTGCTGGACTTCTTTGATTTCTCAGAGTTAATACTCCTCCTTTTTTCTGTCGACTTCAAAATTTATAGTGTTATTGATTTTTCAAGCATCTCAAGAGGAAAGCAAGCTGTCTCAAAAATGAGAGTAAAATGATCTGATTTTATGGCATTTATATGTTGAAAACATTCAGCTAAAATGGTCAATGTTCAGAACTGCACTCTTTTCGATGCAAGAGTGTCCGCCCTTCTCAGGCAACGATTTCCCTCAAAGCTTCACTTTACTGTTGTCCATCTTAGGCAGATCAGTGGGAGTTATGGATGTCAGAGTGGTGGCGGAAAAATCAAAGAACAGACTTGGCTTCTGCTTAAATACCCAACAGTGGCTGATAATGATTCCAGAGTCCGGGAGGTAAAAAAAAGTGCTGAGTGGCACAGAGCTCTCAGATGCTAAAGGACAAATTCCTCAAGGTGAAATATCAACCTGCAGTTTGAGAGGAAGAGAAACACAAATAATCTCCACAGAACAGTCAGACTATAACAGATATAATGTAGAGCAGGGGTCCCCAAACTACGGCCCGCAGGCCGGATCCGGCCCGCCACGTCGTTTGGTCCGGCCCCCTGAACAATGCCGGATCCGGCCCGCCTCCTCATACCAGAGAGCATTCAGTGTTTTTTTTTTTTTTTTATTTTTCATATATTGTATTTTCCGGTTTACATGTGAATTTTTCTTCAACCACCAGGGGGGTTCTTGAGCAGATGTGAAACTAACTTTCCCTCAATGGAATATATACCAGTCAGTCCCAGTCACCGTTTCACTCACGGTTTTTTCCATTTGCATTGTGGGTAAAAAATCTATCTAAAAGCGCGAACGTGTCGTCGTCGTCGTCCCCCCGCCCCCCACGACAGTTTCAAAGACAGAACAGCTATGTGGCCCTCGCAGGAAAAAGTTTGGGGACCCCTGATGTAGAGTATAGTCAGAATTTTTATATAAGATTTATATTCAGAAGCTCTTTTATTCGGTAACTATTTCCATTAAGTGAAACACACACACATTAATCAGGCTAGTGTTCTCAAGTTTTAACTATGATGATTTCACACTAACCGCTAATAAAACATGGCATTTAAGATTACAATAGTACATCAAATCAATGGATAACATTTTTAATATTATCCATTTAATATATATCATATTTTCTTTTTTACAACATCTTAGTGTATCACTGTAAAGCGAAAGAAAACGAGGCATGACTTAACATTTTTTACAACAAAGGATCTGAAAAGTGTGGCCTGAATTGCATTCAGCTCTCCTATAATATGTAGAACCAGCTTTGCTGCAGTGTGGTGTCTCGACCAGCTTTGCATATCTAAAGACTGAGTGTTCCCCTATTCATCTTCAGGATAGTTCCAGCTAAGTCAGCTTAGGTGGCAGTAAGTCTTCCCACTAATTCTAAATTTGATTTTGGGCCTGGACTTTGACTGGGCTGTTGTAATATATGAAGATGCTGAATAAAAGCCATTTCGTGTTAGCGACTGGTGTTGCATAAATCATTTTTCTTACTCTGGTCTCAAGTCTTTTGCGAGTTTTAACAAGATTTCTTGTTCATCCAACTTCAAGATATTTATATGTAGCTTCACTCTTCTTGCTAAAAAAATCATCCTAAAGCATGATGCTGCCATTGCCATGTTTGATTTGCATGTAGGACTAAAAGCACAGTTTTGGCCTCATCTTGCCAAAACTTTCACATGTTTGCTGTAGACCAAACATGGCTGTTATCAAACATTAATTAGAATGTTTGTGAGGTTTTCTTTTAACATGTTTATTGCTAGTCTTCCAGAAAAGCTAGATTTGACCAGTAGTTGTCCTGACGACAGATTCAATCTGAGATGTGGATGTCAGCATTTTCTCCAGAGATTTTAGTTTTGCACAAACCTTTGAAAAGCGCATAACATTTTCCTCCCGTTCCACAGCTCTGCTCAACTTTGTGTTGGTTTGTCACATAAAACCAATATAAAAATAATTCAAGTTTATGGTTGTAATGTGACTGGAGTCTTTATGGCACTCTTCCTCTGTAAGGCGAATACTGTAGGGTAAAAAAAAAAGACCCTTAATAATGTAAATGTGGAATGGTGACGCAA